TAAAAGTAAGTTAAAACAGGGAGTGCTCCTTTCCCCTCCCACCCCTGTCCAAAAAAGCAATGGCCCCAGTAACTGATTGGATATTACTTGCTGTAATGGTGTACACATCGTGTTAGAGATGATATTGTTTAGATCTTCATGATGCTGATCATTCTAGAGATGCAACTTATTCAATAAAATCAAAGATCATGCTATGACGTCAGGTAAGATGCTGTCTCTTATGGCTGCTGATTTCCTTTTTTCTTCTTCTTTAGATCTGATTACTATCAACCAGGAGGGTGATGACCTACTGTCAACAACATTATTGCTTTCACAATCCTATTACTGCAGCTGAGATGAGACACAAATAGATTATACAGGAACGTTGCTGTATGAAACACTGAAAAACAGCTAGGGGCTGGGCTGCCTTCTTTTTGAACCCTTTTTTCTTAGACTTTCTTAGCGGGAGTTCTTTACCTGCTAGTGCTTTAATGGGTCAATATAGGATGGTGGTTTTCTAGAATACTAATAAGAAGCAAAGCCTTTGAAACATGAACACAGGATTAAAAACATGTTTTAAGATAAATCATACATTTAGAACAAAAGAAGATAAAAATAAATCTAGTTACAAGCATAATTTGTTTTTGGATTTATGGATTTTCTGGTTATACACTATAAAGGATTAATTCTTAGTAGGCAGTAGGCCTTCAATGTTATATATGGACTTGAACTAAGACTTGGATAGAAAACAGTGTACAGATAAGGGGTGATTGCATAAAATAGGGTGATGTAACTGGTGGGGTACCACTGGAATCTGTATAAGGAACACATCTTTCTAATTTATAGCAATGGTCTAGATTCTGATAAAGTTAGTAAATTAGTCACTCTTGCTGTTGATGGTAAAATAGGGTTATTAAGCACTGTAGAAGTTGTAGAGAAAATTCAAAAGATTTAGACAACCTTCAAGACTGGGCAAGCATCTGGCTTATGACATTTAATGTAGACGTAGAGAATATTTCATGCGGGTAGTAAAAACAACTGTAGGTCTAAAATGAAAAAAGCTGAGCAAGCTATTTATGAAACAGATAGGTGTTTTATGTTTCAGTATTTATTTTTTTTAAATGTTGTGTGGTAAAGAAATAAAAAAGGCAAAAAAATGGTGGGTTAAAATGTCTGAAACACTAGTAAGACCTTTTTTGTAATATTGTGTGCAGGTGTGGTTCCAGTTTCCACTAAAGGTATATCTGCTCTGGAAGCAGTCCTGAAAAGAGCAAACATATATTCTTGTACTTAATAGAAAGTCCTACTCTGACTAGCTAAAATAACTAAATCTATTTATTTATTTTTTTTTTAGAATTTCGAATATCCAGTTATTTTCTTTTATACCCACTTGTGTGTTTTTTCTTGTCTTGGCTCGCGACTGTGATCCCCATGACTGTGCATAAAGTAAAATAACCTTCTCTGTGTTGGCAGACTTTTCTGTAGTGCCCGCTTTCAAGCCACTCATCTATTAATCAAGGCGTTGGGAGCTTGACCCTGTGCACCAGGCCCTGTGCTGATTGGAGGAAAGGTGCTCTCCTTAATGACGAGGCCATGGTGGTCACTGTGTTCCTGAGAGCCTAGAGTGCCCTGGCCAGCTGATCACTCTCCCTCCCTTCCCTCAGTGGCCTTCAGCCAGTTGCACACTGTCGCTTTGGGAATCCCAGTCACTGGCTAGATAATGCTTGGATATCATAGAGCTCACCTGGACAAGGCCTTTACCAGTTGAACCACTTTCGGTTACTCCTTCTGTTCGTACTGTTCTTAACAGGATTTAATATTAGAAGAATTGTAAAAATAAGAATTAATCATCCCTTTTTCAATTAGTTTTCTGAAAAATTATGGGTTTATGTCCATTTGTGGATTACTATAGCAATATATAGTGTGTGTGTATATATATTTCTATAGGGACAGATAGCCTATAGTATTAGTATTAGTATTAGTATTAGGATATGTACTGTGGCATATGCTGCTCTGCTTGGCAAATTCAAAAGTCAAAATAGTTCAGTGGTTTTTTCTCCTGTGTGCTGAGCTATGTTTGTCTAGTGCTGTGCTGGAAGGCAGCCAGCCGCAGCTCTGAACAATGGGAGGGTGAGTAGGCATCTCTGTTCACACCACCAGCCATCAGCCAGAGAATCAAATGGCTCACACACTGCCAGAGGAACACCTGTGAACTTCGAACACTCTCAAGGTAAAGGCTGAGTGATGTTCCGGCACAGCAGCTGTAAGGTTTCATGAGTTATCCTGTGAAATTCCTCAAAGTAATCAGACTTTTTCTAAATTTGCAACTTGCTGTTGCTGCTCCTTGGAATTCCCAGGGTTGTCAAGGAATATTGATGCATAGCTGCCACGTTCAGTGTGGTTTAAACACGACTATCAAATTAGGGAGTGGTATTTGATAAAGGTAATTAACAGAGCCTTGGCAGCATATGACATTTAATCTTTTTCCTAATTTGAATTAATGCTGAACATCTTTTCTTTTAAATTGGCTGAAAGACACACAGGACGTGAACAGTTTAGTCCTTACTAATGTATTTGGCAGTTTTGCACCCAGTTTATACAGATGGGTATTTCACAGGAACGATTTTAGTGACATGTCCTGCTCTAGGTTACAATAACATGATCCCACCTGAGATTTGAACCCACAACCTTACAGTTATAGGTGCAGAACCCTAACCACTGTTCCACACCACTGTCAATTACAGCTGCCTCTGCACCTAGGCCCTTAAGAAGCCTGGATAATCTTTAGTGTAGAAAAGGTTACAGTGCTTCTCAGCATTAACGTCTTGACCTTCAGGATTGTTTTTCACCACCATCCTCTTACCTACTGTAGGTTATTAGGTTCTGTTTGGAAAATAATCCCGCCTCTAGCTCTATATTTCATATCTACATTCTGCTAAAGGATTCTGATAAAGTTTAAATTCTGTATAAATTCGAATCACTTGTTATTTTTAAATTAATCCCATTTTTTACAGGTGTCACCCTGTATAATAATGGAGGATGAAATTGAAGGTGGAAGCATGTAGCAAGTGGACAAAATCTAAAATATTACAGATAGCGTTTGCATTACTATTTAGATAAAATCCATAGATTAAAATGTTTAATGGGTTCTATACTGTAACCATTACTTGGTGTGCCCCAGTAAATAGCGAATAGCGAAGAGAAGCAATTAATCCCTGCGTGGCACAGTGTGGGTTCTGTGAACATGCCTGTCCTGTGTGTGCAGTCTGCCTCATTAATACATTATGGGGTTTATACCACATGTGTTGCTTCTGACTGCCACTCAATGTACAAAGAGCTTCCATACTGAGCCAGAAGCCCTAAGCCTTTTCACGCAACAAACTGAATTAGAGAATTAATTAGAGAGAGTCTTGTGGAAGTGAGCCTGCACTGAGCTATCCAAAGTGCAACACACCCTGCTGTACGGACAGCAGGACATGTCAGAAATGAGCAGAATTACATCTCTATCTCAGGATGTGCGTTGTGTCTTTTTGTTGTCTGGAAAGGAAGAACAGTGTTTGAAGAGTAAATATAGGCCATGTAGTTATCATTATGCATATTTCCACCCGTGCTGAGGCTATGAATAATTTAAAGTGGTTTTCCCCGGTGGCTTCTTCTGTAGACTCACCACCCGAATGGAGAGCCTGATTTTTTTCTTTCCTTTGGTGTTTACATTGAAAAAGACGTCTGTTTAAAGACAGACAAGGCTACAGGATATGATTGTTTTTGGACAGACTCATATTGTTTTTTTTATTTTATTTTGTATGGGGGGGAATAAGATGTTGCTTTTTTATCGCTTAAAAAAGTCCAAAATATTCTAAGCCCCTCTTCTCCGCCAAGTCTCTGGGACTGCCTAATGACTCGCAGGGATTTCTGGCTAGAACACAGTACGGGAGACTATTCTGCAATAAGAGTCCCTGTTATTTTCATTCCCTTTTCTCGGTTTTTCTGAGCACCCATTTTTTCTACATTGTGTATTCTGTTTTGCGCTTTAATTAGAATAAAGCGGTTAAAATTATTCAAAAACAGGAAAACGTCTTCCTGTTACTTGGTCGTCTTATCTCCTGATTCGGCTTGTCACCTCCTCAACGCCTTGTTTCCTTTACCTCTGTCCGACGTTTGCGTTTTATTTCATTCTTTATAACAACCCATTCCTCCGTCCTTTTTTTCTGCCACATTTCTCTCTCCACCTTCTGCCTTTCCCATTCTCTCGACAGTGGGGAAAACAGTAATTTTTAAAGTTTCCTTTTAACAGAGCAGTTTTAAGATGCTGTTCACAAAACAAAGTGAACTGAACCCTAGCTTTGGCATTCAGAGATAACGTGCTGTTCTAAAGCTGGGAATAGTCGGGTGTATTTACGTGTAGGTAGATGTCATCCTGTCAGGACTGGTTGAGGAGCTGTTCTTGCTACAGGTTTGGCTGCTTAATCATCTTCATTCTCTGTGTGGATGCATCAGGAAACTTCTTGTATACTTTAAATTAACTGAAGAAAATAAAGTTTGAGTTAAGACACTATTTACAAATGGAAAAAAAAAGGTTCCCTATGTATAATTTCACATAACACAAGAAGCATCTCCAAAAAAGGTGAACGCCTATACTGATCCCTGTGCTGTCTTGTCATTAATATTCTGTCTTGACAATCTCCCCTCTGTAGGTCGCATGTATTTAAAATAAATCTACAGTATAATTCAAGAGAAGTGGAGATTTGCTTTAAATTCCATCTTCCTCCCATTTCCAGTCTTGGCTACATTTTTTTTTCCATGCACTATTTGTATTTGTGCTTCCCCCCCCCGTTTTTCATTAGGTAGTGACTTGCTGGTGTGTATTTTGTGCTCATTGGTTCTTGGCAGAGGGGTTGTATTTTGAAAGGAATTCAGTACTGAGTTATTACTGGTCCAAATTTACTGTCAGGCCGGAACTGGAGAAGGCTGTTTGGCAGCTCTTCAGAGTGTCTGAGGCATTATATATACACACACCAACACAGGCACTCTGACACACACTCAAATCTCTGAGCCAGCCCTCCTTATAGCCAAGCCTTCCAAAGCTTGTTTCCTTGTACAGATCAGTACACGGTTTAACGCTGCACGGCTGCGGACAGCGAAACGGGGAAGGATCAAAGGGAGGGTGGGGGGGAGAGAAGAAAACCTGAAAAAGAAAGAGACGCTCTTTTTAACTTTCCCCCCACTCCTCTGTCTCCACCACCAACCACACTCCATTCAGAAAGAAGGTTGTGTTCACATGACATAATCGGAGTGAATGGGTTGCCATGGTAACTGACACTGGCAGGTCGACCCAAGAAAGCTGGATGTTGAATGGAGGAAGAGCTGCGGTGGCAGGCAAACTAAAGTAACGGAGTGTCACGGGAGAGAGGGAGACTGGAGGTCTAGAATGGAGGACGGGTTTTCCAGCTATAGCAGTCTGTATGACACTTCGTCGCTGCTCCAGTTCTGCAATGGTAACTACACACTTTTGCCTTACCGAATTATTTTCCTCCCTTTTCTCTGGCTGACAGGAGTCTGTTCCTGCTTAAAAAAACTGGACACCAGAGTTCAGTTCAGCAGGGCTGTTTTTGCCAAAGCGCAAGACATAGCCCCGCTCACAGATTTTGCTGTACTTCTTAATTTTTTAGTTTTGAGAGAATGAAACTTTTTTTTCTCTGTGGTTAAAAGCTTTATTTTGGAACCAATTCTGTGAGCTTTAACGACAAAAGGAAAACTTGAAAAACAGTCCTGTTTGGCTTGCGCATTTTGAAAAACTGTGCAGCAAGTTGTATTTTTGGCATGAATAGTGTATGACGAAATACATTTTAATTTCATCCCTATGGGAGAAGAATGATTTAAACACAGTAATGGAGTCTTGTTAAACTGATGAAATTTTTCCAGCTTTCAGCCTTTTAATTAGAAGCCATCTGGTGTTTTCAGAATCTTTAATAATAAATTAAATTGATATTAGGTTGCTGTATTATTTTACCTTTCTTGAATCTGCGTGTGGTTCCTTGTATTTATTCAGTACTATTGTTTTCAGTTGAATATATAAAATAAATGAAGCAAATGGGAGCTTTTAATTAAGGAGAGTGTTTTGTTACATACAGTTTTAACAATGTTAGGCTGGATAAAGGGTTGCAGCTGGTCGTAGAAAAATGTTAATTGAAGGAATGTACTTTAATGTTATCGTTATTTCACAAATACAGGCATGGTCATGTGGATAAAGATTATGTTCTAATAATATAAAAAAGAGTTGGTTTGTCCTTTTTTAGTTATCTTTCAAAGATTCCGAATTCAGTATTAGTATCTTCTTTGTCTAGTGTGAGCAGTTTAGTGAGTCTATATCTTGTGTCGTTCAAAGTGCTGTTTAATTTTTGTTTTTTTCTCCTTCCTGTCACACTCTCTGGCTCTGTCGTCATTAAGAACATATTAAGTTAAGCCTAGTGGATCTTTGCTGTTAAACACGGATTTCTAGTTAATATCCGAGTGCATAGGTGATGAGGGCATGAATTTGTGGGAGCATATATTGGTTTTATTGTCTTTGTAAGTTTGGTTCTCTGACATAAGACTACTGTGGGGTTATTGTGAAGATATTCAGTGAAGGCTCATTAATCTTCATTATAGCCTGTAAAACAACAGAGCAAATAGAATGAGTGAAAACAATTGCTCATTACTTTTCTGTTTGCAAAACTGATATCAGTACACTTCTTGTAATAAAAGCAATGTTTATTCACAAGTGTGATAAAACAAAATTGTTTAAATGTTTAACAGACCGTGATAATAACCACAGCTTGATAAATGTTGAAAGTCTAATATAAAATTTGAAGATTTCAGAATGTTTTAACAAAAGTATAGTAAGAAAGAAACTGACCTGTGTACCTAACATCAGAATTATGGCATGATCTGTGTTACGTATAACACAGAAAAACTGCATCAAAATGTTGGTTCACCTCTCATTTGTTAAACATTTTATGACTGCGTACTTAAATAACAAACTTAGGCATCACACCTACTACAGTATATGTGACAGAGGGCTGTTGCTTCAGCTGTGGAGTTTGTCCTGACCTGATGCAACTGCTGGTGTTCAGAAATGTAAGGCATCTTACCTGGACAACCAGAAAAACAGGTGTAAGTACAGGTGTAAACTTGTATGAAGGAGACAAAAACTGATCCTATATATTTGATGAGTTTGTATTCAATCTCGATTCTGTTGAAGTTTACCTTCAATAGAAAAGCAGTTATGTGTCATTTCTTATGTATTAAAGCCCATAATTTGAAAATGTTATAATTCTGTCTTGTTGCTGTGTTATAGCTCTCAAGATGATCTAAAAAGGTTAAAAGAAATGACTTCTACTGACAGTAACTCTCCTACTTCAACCACTAATGCATGAATTGCTGGTAACATTTTTAGTAGTAATATCAATTAATAATGGCAATAGTATCAATTATGTATTTACATTGTTCCTTGTCCTTGGGCTGCTCGGATTTCTGTACACAAGTGAATAATGCTTGTTGAAAGGTGTCTCCAGAAGCTGTCTATTAATTAGGTCTTGTACTCCCCCATCTCACAGTTCTTGAGTCCTCATTACATTTCAGCACTGTGTTTGGGCACATCTTGAGACCTGAGATGTATTTTCCCATGAAGCCCTTCTACTTCAGTTCTGTACGTGTGGAAAGGCGGGGGTGTCTGGCACAGAAATATGGCCACCAGTGTGAATGTCTGCTTTGTTTTTCCTAAAATAATGCAAGTTTGAGATCAGAATCCCCTCTGGATAGTTTTGGGTGAACTGGGTTATTTAAAGGGCTCAGATCAAAATCCTCAATCAAAGCACCATTTTCCTGAGGTTTAGTCCCTTTAGTCTGTGGAGTTGTCATATTAAAGTTTCTAATGCGTCTTATGAACCATGTCATCGGTGCAGAATTCTTGATATCTGGTAAATTATAGATGAAGATCTTAAAAACTATATTGAGTGGGCTAGGAATTGGAGAGGCATTTAAGTGTTCCAGCAGTATAATAAATTGGACTTGTATAATATAGGTAGATCGATAGATCTTTAAAGGGACATTAGTCACTTTGCTATTTATTGTTTTTTTTTGAGAGAGAAAATAGAACTAGCTAAGAATCATACAATTTAAATATATTTAAATTGAAATATTTAAATATAAATGGATCCCTGAAAGCACATGGCAGATTCTTCTAAAAGTAATATACTATATTTGTTCCACGATTCTCCTGGAATGCATCTTCTTGTTCAGTAGAATGCTATTGCCTTTCTTAATTCTATACAGCAGTGCACTGTAGATGGTTTTCTCCCATGAAACATCAGTCTGTGGTACACCAAGAAGAGTTAATTCCCCAGGTCAGGAAAGAGAACACTCTGTGGCAGAACTACTATAGTTGACCTATTAATCTAGATGAATACCTTCCATGGCCATTATTTTAATACACTATACTCTTTTCCGATTGAGTGGGTTGGCATTCCCTTTACATAATTACTTATTAAAAATCAATATTTTAGAATACACAAACTACTCAGTTTATTGTGATGCTAAATAACTCAATTTATGAGTTTCTCATTAGATTGTCTATTTCTTAATTACAAAGAAAGCTGGAGTGAAATGACATTTTACTTTATGGTCAGACATTGAGGTGTTTATATTTTTATTGATGTTTGCTGTGCATTTAGGTTGAGGAATAATTAAATATCTATTCAAAAGAAAATGTTTACAAATGATGCACATTTCAGTGATTCTTTATCTCAACTGAAGACAGACCTGCAAGTTAAAAGCATTGGTTTTGTGTCATACTGATCAAGAAATGTGTGATTGCAGGTCAAATTGGATAGCACTGAAATACAATTGAAATGAGATAGTGAAGAAATGCATCTTACATCCTGAGGGAGAAAATTCCAAAGAGCAGCTGTTTAATCAGAAAACAGAAAAAAAGAAAAAGTGGTGTCTTCACAGGAGTAGTGCAAACACAGGACTCCACAATTTGTTTCATTTCAAAGACTTTGGAAATGATTCCAGTTCCTTTCACTAGGATAGATTACTTGCCAAGAATGTGCTCAGATCTGTAAGATGGTTTGTGTTCTGTTGCAGGTATTAAGCTGTGTGCGATGTCATTGCTGACTGTACAATTTTTCAGTTGACCTCTTGATATGGGTTTGACAGCTTTCCTGTGAAGGTCTTTAGACGTGTCTTGTACAATAAGCCACATCTGTTTGGATGGGTACGCACACACTCACATGACACTATATTACTTAATTACTAAGTGCTTGTGCAGTGAATGGAAATCATGTTAGCAGCCATCTTTCAGAACCTAAGAAATATGCAAATATTTTTTCCACATGTAGAAACATTAAGAAGATAGACCAGATACATGATTCATGTGTTCTGAATCTAGAAGCATAGGTTGCATCAGCTATGCTGGTTTTCATTCCATCCCACCTTAATCATACTATCGAGGCCTTAATTAATTTAAGACATTGCTTCATTGGAATATTTGCATTTTGTTTCTAGTCACAAGTTTGGGATTTTATTTTACAGAAAAAAATACGGTTAAAGCTCATGTTCAAGAGCTAGGACCAAACAGTCTAGATTAATTTTGCTATTACTGTAAATCCATGAAAGGTTTGGTTTTGTAACTGAGGGCTCAGCAGGAACAAAAACCAACAGGTGTGTGGGTCACCAGAACCAGGATTGGGAACCACCATACAATAAACACATATTAAATACAATCAATACCCAAACAAATTTTGACTCTCTGCTTGAGGTATCCTGGAACATACAGTACTTACCAAATGTTCCCAGGTGTTCCTTTCCAACCTACTCTGCTCTTCACTCATTGGCTGATGTGTCACAGAGCCTAGCAATCTCAAGGCATTAACAGGCCCATGGTCAATTGTTAGCCTAGATTTGTGGAGAGATTAGCATTAACCCTCTGCTTATATTACAGCCTAAAACTAAGCACTTTTGGCAGTGCATCCATGCTGAGTCAGAGCTAAGATTTTCAATACAGTAACTACTTACAGTATATACAGTAAAAAGCAGTCTCTGAAATTGCTCCAGCCCTTCACTCGGGAATTATCATTGTCAATTAGTTTCATACTGTTTACTTTAGAAAAACATAGCTTACCACAAAATCTTTTTATTTTCTGTCAGGTCATTCAGACTATATGATCTTTTTTCAGATAAAACAGAAGACCTTCTGTTTTGAAGTGAACAAAATCAGTCCATGATACTCAACAGAATAAAACAAAAGTACAATTCTCTCGTAAGATGTCTTGTGCCTTTTATTTAAAAAATCCCTCTCTCCATTCACTACATAAATACATGAAGGTGTAATGTAGCTCTTAAATAATGTAAATAATGTTTTAGTTATTAAATAATTAAATATTAAGTAATGAAATTAATGTAAGTGTTTTCAAAAGCGCTTACCACTCCCCATTGTTACACAGTTTTGTAATTG